ATTTTAATACTCTTGAGCATCTCTTTCAGTTTTGAAAACATAAAAAAAAACTTTTATCAATAAGCTCTATGTTCCAAATTGATTTTACTGTGAGTCTCAGCCCTAAATCTCTCTTAACTTTTAGCTTCTTGTTGCTTGCACTCCATAAATTGTGCCCACCACAGCAGAAGGCAGTAAATGGCCAGTGGCATATATAAGTAGGAATATTTGTACCTTTGAAGAAATAACAACTTCCCACTACCACTTCTCGAGTGCTACAGGAGCACTTGCTAAAGGCTTTAAAACATGATCTCCTTTCATCTGTGCAACACATTTTGAAGCAGAATCGATTATCTTCACTTAACCATAGAGGAAATTAGGACTGAGAAGAATTAAGCAATTTGTCCAGGGTCATAGATCTAATAAATCGAACAGACAAGAGTTAAATCAAGCTGATTCAACATCCATTACACAATACTGCCTCCCAAACTCCAAGTCTATTTGCCCTGGGCAAATATTATGCTTATATTTCAAAATCTAAGGAAAAAGCAGGGAGGTAGAAAGCCATTAAATGGGGAAGAAACAAATGGAAATTTTTGTGACTTTTACACATGCACAAAATCTACTGCACAACAATTTTACTCTGTGAGATCCTTTCAGGGTTGCTGAGCCACTCCTGCCTTCAGGAAGCTAACATTTTCATTGAGAAGACACCTAAGAAGGTAGATTGAAATCAAGTAAGTGCTTTAATAGAGGCATGCACAAAGTATGGTGTGCGTGAGCATAGAGGAAGGAATGTCTTCCAGCTGCTTGACAAACAGCTGGAATGACTTGTTTGGCCTACTAGTCATTAGTATCACATCTGTTTTAATCTACTCATTAAGAATATTTGACCTGTGTTTGCCAAAATTAATGTGCTGCATATTAAGTTTGAAAATTCTAAGCCTTTCAATCCAGTGAACTGAAAAATCTGCTTCTATACTCTCAAATGTTGTCAGTAGCAATGGAAATTGGCTTTAAATTTTAAAAATTATTTTTTGAAAAACAAACCAGTGATATGGACCAGACTTCCACAATTTATCTACTGTATTGCTTTTATCTACTGTATTGTATTAAGGTAAAGATATACATATAAAAAGTTTGGAAAACAACCTAAAATCCAGCAATTGGGGGTTAATTAAATTCTGGTACATTTATAGCACTGATGGCAAGCCATGTAGAGCTTTCAATGATACAAACAGCCTGCTGTGGCACACAAGCTGTAGGTTCGCCACCACTGATCTATGCTACAGCTGCTGTGCAGCTACTAAACAGAATACCTATTAAAACCAAAGAAAGTCTCCATGGTAGATTGCTAAGTAAAAACATACAAAAGAGTATGATGTCCTTTACATTTTAAAATATATATGCATATGTGCAAACAAATACATATAGTGGGTAAAATAAATACAGAAATATTGGGAAGTTTTGGTTTTGGTATTTCGTAGTGATGGAGATTAAACCCAGGGTGTTCACACTGAGTCACATTCCCGGGCCTTTTTATATTTTTTATTTTTTGAAACAGGGTCTCACCAAATTGCTAATTTGCCCAGGGTGGGCTCCAACTTTTGATCCTCCTGCCTCAGCATTCCAGAGTGCTGTGTTTACAAGTTTACACCATCATGTCCAGCTGGGAAGAATATTTACCAAAATTTTAACCTTGGTAGGAAATCAGGGTGCCTTTTGTTTTTAATAATTTTCTGTACTGCTTGTTTTTTCTGCATTCATGCATTTTTTTTTTAAATCAAGAAAGAAAAAAAGATAACCTAATTTGGGAGAGGAAAAGGGACTGTATCTCCTTTCAAGTCTTACTTACTATAAAATGATATCCGCCAGAAATCATTTGAAAACATTTCCAAATATACTTCTATGGAAGTAGTAGGAAATCTTGAATAAACCATTTTCTTCCTAGCTAATAGAGTTGACCTGGATAGATAGGTCATGATCAGAAGAATCATAACTACCTCAAACTTTGTGTACATGAGGTTGGACTGGGATGTTTTGTTCTTCAATGCAGACAGACCATTAAAAAGACCCAAAAGTTTCATTTAGCATACAATGTGCACCCTAGTTGAAAATAATTAAGAATGTCTTTTATTCAAGTCTACTCTGGAGGGAACACAGGACAAAATTTCACAAGCTTTGAAGGCCTTTCTAAGGTGAGCCTGCTGACTTATCCTGGCTTCCTGCCCAAAAGCCCAAGCAGCTAGAAGAAATACAATGCACTTTCATTGTCCTTGTTTTTCTCTACCAGTGATTCTGTGTTTACAAATTAAATAACAAGAGTGTCCAAAAGGCATTTCTAACTTTGCATGCTTTCTAATACACAGCTCCAAAATGAATTCAACTAAGGAAGCAGGCATTATAATCTCATCAACAACATAACGAAACATCGTTTACTTTAAATTCTTGGAGTAAAGAGTCAGGTTGCTGACTGATGAAAGAAATCAGTTGTACAAAGTTCTCTAGACTTTTGTCTGTGTGTGAAATTAGGCCTCTTCCATGGCTGACATTCTAAGATTCTGTTATTTACAATTCTAGGAAATGTGCTCCTGAGGTTTTAAAAGTTGTCATGAAAAGATGACATTTCAGAGTAGAATTTATTCCAGTTATGGAGCAGGTGTTTTTGCTGCATTTCTGTTACCACTAAAAGAAAACAACTATCAATTTTTTTAAAAGTTAAGTGGATGCGATGTAAACAAACTGTCTTGGCTACTTTTCTCTTTTTTCTGGGATAAAATACCAGACACTCCATATTAAGGGAGGAAAAGATTATTATTTAGCTCACAGATTATGGAGGTTTCAGTCCATAATCAGTTGGCTCCCAGGCAGGGTGGCACATGGCACAGAGGCAACAGTTCATGGCATGGAAGAGAGCAAAAGCAACAAGAGCGAAAGGGGAGTACAGAGCGAGAGCAAGCTTCTCTCCCTCCCTTATAGTGCACGCAGGCTACCCCAGGGTGGATATAGCACTCACACCCATAACCCCAGCACTAGACCATGAATCAGTCACAAACTCCAGAAGCCTGCCCCATGACTGCATGAGGCTTTGGGAGGATATCTAGACACACACCGTAACACAACCTCATGCCAAGTTCAGAGAGGAAATGAAAATGCATATAACTCAGTAATGAGAAGTACAAAAAAAAATCAAGAGAAGGAGGAAAAAGGGGACAAAAGTGGTTTTTAAAAATAAAGATTATAGGGGCTGGGGATTTAGCTCAGCGGCAAAGCGCCTGCCTGGCAAGCGCAAGGTCGTGAGTTCGGTTCCCGGTACCAGAGAAAAACCAAAAAAAGACAAAAAACCCAAAAAAACAAAACAAAACAAAAACTTGAATATAAAGCCAAAAACTGTAAAACTCCTGGAATAGTTTAAATATATC